TACCATGGGGGTTATAAAACGTAGACATTTACAAGCAATTTTCTGCCATAGGCTGTAGTATCCATTACAAATTTCAAATACAAAATTTGAAATAATTCCGGTAAATAATGTGCTAAAATCATCAAAATACCGAATATCGGGTGTACTGCTATATGGGGGCCCCCATAAAACGACAACTCACGCTATTCAGTATTTTAATAATTTCAGTGGTATTATTCACCAGAATTGTTTCAAAATTCGTAATTGAAGTTCGTATAGCTCCCATATAAGGAGTTTCGTTTTAGATGTACAGTTCTTCGATTTTCTTTTCTATACCCTCTATCTTGGAAAAGAGGGTATATTAACTTTGTCATTCCGTTTGTAACATACTTCAATATTTGTCGTAGGTATATATTTATAATCAGCATAAAATTCTATGTCGATTTAACGATGTCCGTCTGTCTGTTAAAATCACGATACAGCCCACATTATTTGACGTAGAGTGCCAACATTTAGCAAAGCATTTTGTATTTTGTCTAGGATAGTTGGTATTGAAAATTAGATATATCGCTCCACGTTTTGGTATAGTCCCCATATAACGATACCTCCCGATATTCGGTATTTTGATGATTTATGCCAAATTTTTTTACGGATTTGACTGAAAATTGGTATTTGTAGGTCATAACGGGTCCCAGTTCGTGTAGCGAGACATTACATGTATAGGTCCACTCTTTAGTATAGCCCCCATATAAAGGTACTTCCCGATATTCGGTATTTTGATTATTTTTGCCACATTTTTTCACTGATTTGTCTAAAAAATGGTATTTGCAGGTCATAATGGGACCTAGTTCGTGTGGCGAAACATTGTATGTGTAGGTCCACGTTTTGGTATAGTTTCCATATAACGGTACCTCCCGATATTCGGTATTTTGATGGTCTTTGCCACATTTTCCCACGAATTTCGCTGAAAATTGGTAGTTGTAGGTCATAATGGGTTCTAGCTTCTTTGGCGAATAATTGCATGTATAGCTCCACCATTTGGTATAGCCCCAATATAGCGGTACCTCCCGATATTCGGCATTTTAATGGTCTTTGCCACATTTCTTCGCGGATTTGTCTAGAAATTTGTATTTGTTGGTCTAGCTCCGGTGGCGAAACATTGCATGTATAGGTCCACGTTTTTGTATGGGCCCCATATAGCCGTATTTCCCGATATTCGGTATTTTGATGATTTTTGGCACATTTTTCCATGAATATGTCTAAAAATTGGTAAATGTGGGTCATAATGGGCTCTAATGTTTTCCTTTACCCTAGGGCGGAGGGTATTAAAAGTTTGGCCCGGATGAACTAAATGTTTTTTATTTGTTTTTTTTTTTGTTTTAATTTTTCAAGTTCCTTCAGGCATTAAAAAACTCGGTCCGGTATATCTATTACTCCAATAAATATTTTTGCATATAATCCTTATCGAATTCAAAGCAATGTTATATGGTTTATAGTTATATGATGTACTTCACATAAATTCCCAACATAAACTAATATAAACAACTAAATACGCATAGTGGTGTAGGGTATCATATATAATCGGCCCCTTCTGACTTTTAACCTTTCCTTACTGGTTTATGGTTGGGGTAATTTTTAACTAAATTGTAATTTGTTTTTTAAATTAGGACTTCCTCTATTTCGTATAGGTGTCTTAAATCAGTATATTCTAATATTCCAATGTCTGAGTTTAGCATTTTGGGTTGTCACTGAACATTTTTCAAGGGAAAATTGTAATATAGATGGATTTATTTTACATATCATCCATGGAACTTCACCGGTATTGAGTAAATTTACTGATAGTTTCAGAAGCATTTTCAAAAAAAAAAAAAAAAAAAAAAAAAACAAGAAACAAAAAAAAAAATTAACTGCATGTCTGTTGCTATTGTAAGGATTCCAAGGGATTCCAAATTTCATTGCAATGATGCCTGAAGTCGGCCGAAAATACATATGGAAGCTATGAATCTGAATCTGAACCGATTATTACTCATTTCCTTACTCATTCCTAATCTTATTTTATATATATATATATATATATATATATATATATATATATATATATATATATATATATATATATATATACTAGCTGGCCCGGTCCGCGTTGCCGGCCCGTAATTTTAGTCTTTAATGCTTATTATATCCCCCACCTTGGAAAGGAGGGTATATTAACTTTTTTCATTCCGTTTGTAACATCCCTAAATGTTCGTCATAGACTCCGTCTGTATGTCTGTTTATTTAAATTACGATACAGCCCACATTATTTGACGCAGAGCTTCAAAATTTAGCAGAACAATTTGTACTGTGTATAGGATGGTTGGTATTGACAATGGGTTCTATCGGTCCACGTTTTGGTATAGTCCTCATATAACGGTACCTCTCGAAATTCGTTATTTTGACGATTTTTGTCACATTTCTCCTCGGATTTGTCCGCGTTGCCGGCCCGTAGTTTTAGTCTTTAATGCAAATTTAGCATAGCATAATATTTCACAAATCTAGCTCATAAAGGTGAACAAATTTTAATATAAATATTGATTCGACTAAATAGAAATAAATAACTATGGAAGGAGGGCAAAATAATTTCTGAATAGTCAAAGTTAATTACGCTTTTACACCCATTACCATAGCACCTCAAATTGCGCATTAGAGTCCCCAAAAAGTCTATGTTCTTGTTCATAGTAAAATTCAATGACGATTAAACAATACCCGCGTTGTTGTCCGCCAATCGGTAAACATCACTATAGATCGGCGGGCCTGGGGACTATATGGGGACTGTACCAAAATATTTACGTATGTTGACATTTTTTTTTTTTTTGAAATCAGGGATACATTTATATAAGGGTTTTACCAAAACGTGGCCCAAACAATATTCTCTTGGGGGTTACAAATTCAATAGAAAACAAAATTTTCTTTTCTGACCACCAATTAGATGTGAAAGTGAACTTGGAGATACTCCAATGTGGGGACTTTACTTAAATAAATTCCTGTGTGGCAATTATCTGCATGATGGGTCCCTACCCCAGGGTAGCATAAATACAATTTTTAGCCAAATCAATTAATGAATATGGTCAAGACCAAAATGGGCCCTACTCTGAAAATTTCAAACTTTATGCGAAGAGGTTCTCTACCTCCTTAGAAACAAATATGCCAAATAATGTCCAAAATATTAAAAAAAGTGACCAAGACACCAAAAAAACTTAAATCATACGATGGTTATATAAATATGAAATCGGGTTGTACCCTTATCCGTGAGGTATGATCGATATCATGACCTGTAAAAGCGATTTAAGGTATCTCGAATGTTTGGGAAGAATTTCTGGAAGGATAGAAATTCTTTTCTTACTAAGAGTCCCATTCGCTCTACTATTTTCCACCCTTTATATTTGGTATTTTTCTGATTGTACATTGGACGGATTATTGTGACAGGAAAGAAGTAGTTCCACGCTTTGAAATGAGCCCCATTAGGGTTTTTCGGTAATTTTCGTTTGTTCAAATGTGTTCGCATCTTCCAGCTGAACCACGATGACGGCTCTGGAGTTGAAAGGTAGATGTCAGTTAACATCGTATTTCCCACTTACTTATTTTTTTGGTGAAAATTTGTATATAGTGAAAAATTATTCTTTATTTTGTTCACAAAAAATTTACTGAATTAAATTAGATAATACAAATTGAAAAAAAAAATTGACAAAAGAAGAATAACACATTGAAAAAATCTTCAACTTGTTCGCTGATTTTTTACAGAAAATGTTTAAAGATCCTTATATAGTTTGTCAATAGAATGTACTTCTATTTTAAAATTCGATTCCATTAAATTATTTCGACATCATCTATTCCTTTTCGCCACCACATAATTCGGTACTACACTTCCATGTAACTCGCCATCAATTTCATTTCTCAAGAAATCAAGTCAATTAAATAAATTGGTATTAATATTTGAATTCAAAAAAAAAAATAAATAAAAAAAATAAAAAAACACTACAAATGTACATTAGAAAAAAGTAAGTCAAAATGGAAAAAAAATATGCAAAATAAAACATTGCTATTGTACATTTCAAAAGTCAAAATGAAAATGTTAAAATATTACATTTTTACGCGATTTTTTTGGATATTATCCTTTTCGGAGAGGAGACAATTCCGAATTTGTATGAATCGTTAAAATTAGTCCAGCGGTTCTTAAGTTATAAGCGTAGTAACTAACACAACTTTCTTTTATATATATATATATATATATATATATATATATATATATATATATATATATATATATATATATATATATATATAAGAGCTATATCTAAACCTCAATCGATTTCAATATAATTTGGTAAATTGATTTTTGTATCAAATTCTGTTACACATTCCGAATTTGAAGACTGTATCTATAAGCGATTAATAGATATGTGCGGAGGTACACTCGAGTCTGATATCACCACTTCCAAGTTGAATTTTCAAAAATTATATAGCCTTTGTTACTTTCAGGCGACGATATAGTATATCCGGAAATTTTCAGGAAAATCTGTTCTCCGGTTTTTGAGTCTATAAATTACAAACAAACAGATAAACAAACAATCAAACTTACAAACATTTTCCTATTTTAAATACATATATATTCTCTACCAGCAGGGCTTAAAGCATTTACGAATTTGAAAAATAAATATATGCCACACCTTCAATATACTGAAAATCTAGAGGAACCTTCATACCTGAAACTTGACTTATATAGAATAGACATAGACACAATAGATACAGCAGAGCAACATTACAAACTTCTACATAAAATAATGAGGTCTTTATATTCAACATAAATACGAATATCTTTATATACTTAATCGTTTATTCAACCTATATTTTAACGAAACTCTATTTTGTTGTTAATGACCCAAAATATTAATTTTCGATTGCAATAAAACTGATGAATTGTTACATATTTTATATCTGCTGTTTTGAATATTTTAAAAACTTTTCCATTTCTTCTATTTCAGTGTGTACTTTTAATTCTATCGATCGTGGGAATTCTCTCAACACATGGCCGTCCCATGAAAGACTCACCGATCAGCACAATTGTAATACCCTATGAACCGTATGTCAGTCAAAAGATCACCAATCATCGAGGAGAGCTGAAAAATGTTTTCGTTCCGCTGCAGATGGATATTGTGCCCAAAGCCAACGTCCCAAAGGGTCAACTGTCAATGGCGAGGAAAGGATCTGCATTAAATTTTGCCGAGGGTGCCTATCCGGTCTACTATATGCCTAGTAATGTTAACGGGAAATTTAATGGCAAAATATCGCTGCTGGTCCAGTGAGAGAGTGAAACTGAGATTAGAAAACCTTACCTAGGGGAATAATTATGTATAGCTCTTGTGTATATTTATTTAAAACTTAGTTGTATAAGTGCTGTGATAAAGTGCTATTTCTTTTCTAATTTTTTACTAAAGAAAAATGATTAACTTTAGAAAATTAAGATCATTTCATTTAGCCAGAGGCTAATGTTAATAACGTGTAAACTGTGTACAAAAAATCCAATACGAAAAAAAAAAATAAACCGAAACATTAATAACAATAGATAAAACGCAAAAACGATTAGAAAACAAAACAAAGGAGAGGAGAAAGTGTTACATCTCAAGAAACTAGAACATTTTAAGCCAAATATTTCGTTTTTATCTTTTAATGGTTTCTTTTGCTAAAGTTCCAAACTGGGCCATTTTTTCGTTTCTTTTTTTTTTTGGGATCACTTTCATTGTTCCGTATTGAATGCTAGAAATTTGCTTTGATTTCGATATTAATATGCAAAATTTGAAACATGGGCGTGGAATTTGTTTCCATTGCTGACGTGATATCATATTTTGCGGATTTAAAAGATTTTTGATTTTTATCCGAAATAGGAAAACAAAAGTTATTATTTATTTGTTCCCAATTTATGGTTATAAATTGAACGTGTCATATCATCAGCCACTGTTATGATTTCTATGGAAATATGTTAATAACGTCAACATATGTTTAAATAATATTCACAAAAAATCGCATAAATTATTAGGTGAGATATGTCATAGCTGGGAAATTTTGTATTTTTTTTTAAACCAAGAAGCTTTCTCTTTGATATTTGCATATTCGTATTTGATCGTTAATATTTTTATCAATATAGGCAATTTTCTCTAAGGCGCAGTAGAGTTTTTTTATATAAAACGGTTTAGAGATTTTTGGATTTAATGTCAAAAATTTCTCCATAGTAACAATAGTAATGGTAACATAAGTAACAATTAATAAAAATTTTAAAGTTGACATTAAAGTTGGAAAACTTATGTTTGATCGAAATATATCGTTCGGGTTGTGTCGTTTTTAAAAAAATTAGCACATTATGGCCAATATCTGTCCAAATGATCTGATTTTTTTCAGATCCGACAGAATTAAATCTAGAAGCAAGTACATAAAATTTGGGGAAAAACGGGTCAGATATAGCTATAGCTACCATATATATGTTTCATCCGATTTGGGGTTTAAAGTCCCTCACATTCGTAATATGCACTCCACAACAATGATATTTGATAGCGGACATCAGATACTGCCCGAAAATACCTCTATCATATTTTGTCCAGATCGGTTCAGATTTGGATAGCTCTCATACATATCTCTATCCGATTTCAGATTTTTATACTCTACAACACTATGTGTTGGGGGTATTATAAGTTTGATTGGGCCAGAATTTATGTAACACCTCGAAATATTGGTTTCCCATATAGGAAAGTATATATGGATCTTCCTAGCTCGCCGAGCTGAGTCGATCTAGCTATGTATGTCTGTCTGTCCATGTTAATTTGTAATCACGCTACAGGTCGCAATTATGGCCCTATCTTAACGAAATTTTGCACGAAGGTGGGGTTAGGGCCATAATAGAAGCCTATTTCTTTTGGAGATGATCGCCAAATGTTTAGGTGTTGAAATGGACCAAATACTGAAAAAATTTAGGATTTTGCAGTAGCTATACAGGTCGCAAAAATAGATCAATCGACGCGGAATTTCGCATGTAGCTAGAGTTTAGGGCGGGGAAGAAGTCTACCAATTTGGGTGGTCATCGGATAATATTTAGCGGGTAAAATAGACCATATCTTTTTTGTTGAAAAAATTCAAAATTTTTCATTAAACCGCGAATATTTTAAATCCCGGCAAAATCACAAAGCCATGACAAGGTTACTTCTGATCTTTACATTGATGTTAACATCCAACAAAACGGATATATAGCAAAATGTGTGCGATATATATGTCTATCAAAGAAGATATGCTTGAAAGATCTCATATATGTCGAGAACGGCTGAACTGATTTCGACAGTTCTCATTAATTTAGAATGACCTCTTGGCAGGAAAGAAAAAACGTCTAAAAAATCGCATAAAAATATCTCTCTAAGATGAACATATTGATTTTGTAAAATTTTCTCATATTTTTTCAATTTTGTCATATTTTTGGCATATTTTCATTTTGAATTAAACATTTGGTAATATTTCTACAGCTAACAAAACTAAGTAGTTAGGATATCAGGATATCATATACAGATCGCATTTATGGTCCGATCCTTACGAAATTTTGCACGGGGATAAGATGAGGATCAGAATAGAAGCCTACTCTTTTTGGAGATGATGATTCGCGGGTTGAAATGGACCAAAAAACTGCAAAATTGTCAGCAAGTCGTAATTTTGCCAACTTTTGTAGACAAAATACGAAAATGTCCATTGCAGTATCTTTTTGGAGAATTCACAAATACAGGAAAGACCCACTTCTGACTATTTCGTTAACGCTGATTTCGTTGAAGAATATAGTCAAATGTCTGTATCTCATATAGATGCGTTTCAGTCAAAAACCAATAATAACTGTTAATCTTTTGCCACTTCTGAGAGATTATAGGTCTTTGGGATATATTGGTTCCAGATCTAGGAAGACCATTTACGTGCAACATCTACCAATAAATTGGAAATGAGCAAATTAGTTTCAGTTGCTATTATTCGAAAATTAGAGAACGAAACCTGATGGTTTTCTTTTATAATTTGTCACAATATCTTGTGGAATTCTTTCGAGTATCTCGCCTATATAAACTGTATCGTTTATTATAGTGTTGTAGGGTATTCAACGGTCGATAAGCTAGAGATTTCCATTATTGAATGCATATACAGTTATACATACCTTTAAACCCTGTTGCATGTGGTTTTTTATTAAAAAAAAAAAGAATAAATAATTAACAGCAAGTCCCCGACATGAGATGTTTGCTTGCTGCCGGTCAGGGAAAAATGAACCGGATATGTTAAGCTCGTCGCAGAGGTTGAAGAAATCAGTGTTGCCAACCGGTGGAAAACATATAAACCAGAGAAATACAACTCTGATGTAGGGCTCAGTAGGCACGACAAAGGTAATGTGATGAATCAGGAAAATTGCGCGAGAATCCCGGAAAATTGTAAATGGCTGCGGCCATATAAAAGGCATAACGGGGGAAAATCGGGGCAGTTTGTTTGGTGTTCAGCAAAGGAGACATTTTGTTTATTTCACTATACCAGAAATTTGAAGAGAATCTCCCAAAAAACATTTAATTAAATTTTGTTTTTGTGTGTAATTAACACTTGTGTTTTATTGTTGTGTGTGAATGCGGTTGTGCGAACAAGTTAAAGCAACGCCAACATTTACACCAACCGTTAAAACCATCTCTGACCCCTCCGAGTCTATGAACGGAGGAGGTCAGCCAATTTATGTTGAATTCCCTGGCGGAAATAATTGTGTCCATGACAGGGTTTAAGCCAAGCCAAGTAACCCGGCTAATGGAACGGCAGCAAATTTCGTCCTGTGTGTGTGACATGTCCGTCCAGCGCCAACCAGAAGTATTCCTTGTGCCAAAATCCGTGTTGTCCAAAAACCTGGAGTGATAAAAACTAAATAAGTATACGCTGACCAGGTAACAATATTTAAAAAGAAAAAAAAAGAGCTACTTACCGGCCTTGAGCAACATTTTGGTTACAATCTTTATGCCCAGAGACCGAGTGTTTACTAATATCTGAAAGGGAGAAATATAAATAAAAGATTAGAAAATCTGAAAATAACACCGAACTCTTAAACAATCTGCAATAATAGTTATACGTTAGTTTAAGTAAATGTTAGTATTTAGTGATTAGTATATACGATTTTATTTGTGTTTGTAAAAGTTTTTAACGCCAGATGGAATGCGACAAGTGTAGGGTTACCCCAGAAAAATCCTATTAGAAGTTTGTTTATTGTGGGATCAAATGTTAATGTCCCTTTAGAAACACATAAGAGAGCTCTTTTAGGTGAGGAAATAATTTAGAAAAGCGGCCCAAGTTGACCGAAATTCTATAGGATAAGGCGGTAGTCCGAGGTATTGACTTATCGATGTGTCAGGTGTTAGAAATTTGGAATTCTGACAAGAAAATAATGAAGGCAATAAATTGTTTTAATGTTTAAGTGTTTAGATTAAAATGAATTGCTAGTGTTTTGTTTTGTTAGGGAGGAAAATAGGATGATGTTGAAGTGAGGTAAGTGTGTGTGAAAAACGGGGCCCTTACAAAATTGAATTCAAATCTTTGAGGAGGATCTAAGGGTCAAGGTTGGGTGGGCGAAGTGTGGGAATTATTAACATCAATTTCCCGTGTTATGGTCGTATGTGTTTTGTCGTTTTATTTTGATTTGTTTCTTGTTATTTCATGTGTTCCTTTTTGATTGTTCGACCCCTGGGGCTGGTGGTGGCAGGGTTGGGAATTCACCCCCTAAAGCGATGCCCCGACTGAGCTAGTTGGAACCCCACCATAGCGCCGTATCAGGTGGCACGTAACAACCCCTCAAAATACCGAATAAGTTGACCTATATTGAACACTTTGTATTACGATGTTAAAAATCAAATAAATAATTGATTAAAAATATATCATATCAGGATTATAATATCTCAACTACTGACATCAACAATGACATTTATTAACAATGACATCCATATCAAATTTCAGATATTCAGCTCTATGCCTTCACCCAATACCAAATTTAGTAGCATATAGTTCTTTCCTACAGTGCAGTAGTCATTTTCAAAATATTCAGTTGAGAATGAAGATTATTTTGAATATGTGTAATACAAATACAAACAGTGACCTTAATTTCAAATTTCACACCTGTAATTTCCCCAATTGCCAAATGTAGTACCATTTAGTACAATTGTAGTACGCATTTCCGAAACCACCCATATCTTAACCACAGACACCAACAGTGAAATACAGGGTTGTCCATATTCGACGGACCCATCTGGCAACGCCATAACTTTTGACAGAGATGTCACATCGCTTAATGACATACCGCGTTTGAAGCGTCAGTCCAAGCAGATTTTTACCATGAACCAATACACGCCACCCGAAATAGTTGAACTTTACATTCAACAGAAGAAGTCAATTGTGAAAACTCAACGTGCTTTTAAAACATTAAAAAATGTGAGAAGTGCGCCTTCTAAGAACACCATTAAGCGTTTATACGAAAATTTTTCGACTGGTAAGGCTCTTTCTACACCGAAGAGGCCATATAAAAGTCGACCAAGGCGATCGGCCGAGAATATCGCTGCCGTACGAGCCAGTGTTGAGAGGTCCCCAAGAACATCCCAAAAACGCCGTTCTCAGCAGTTGGGCATGGCTCGGTCCACTTTACAACGGATTATTCGCATTGATTTGCATTTGTTCCCGTACAAAATTCAATTGATGCAAAGAATGTTGCCTGCGGACAAGCCTCGTCGATTGGAATGGGCCCAAAGAGTCATGGGTCCGTCGAATATGGGCAACCCTGCATATATTAAACTTTACGATTCCAGTCCTAACCTCTCACCCAATACCACATTTAGTACTTTTCGTACAAATATAGGCAGAATTTAAAAACAACTATGATCGACCGCAGATACCATTAGTTGTCTGAATATCAAATATCTAAATTTTCCCTCCATCCAATTCACAATTTAGTACCACTTAATACTTCCAGACCTATCCCTCTACCCAGTACCATCCAATACTTTTCGTACATTTCCAAAGCACCGCCGAAGCTCAAACACATATGCCATCACGTAATCTAAATATCAAAATTTAAGAATTCTATCTATATCCATTCAACCAATACCATATATAGTATCATTCAGTACTTTTCGTACATTTGTAGTACATATTTCCGAAATCACCATATGTCCAGGCTACACAGCGACCCTTATATCAAATTTCAAATTTCTAGCATGATCTGTTCACACAATTGGTACCAAATATTAGTATTATTCAGTAATTTTCGTGCACTTGTAGTACACATTTTCAAAACCACCTTTTCATCACGAACCTACCATCAACTTGTACCCAATACAACTTTTCAAAACTTCAGCTTCATCTGTACACCATAACCAAACTGTTCTAAATGTATTACCAATAAGTACATTTAGTTCACATCTTCAAAATCACTTCCATATATCAAACGTACTTTCCAACCTTGATTCTCATACCAAATACATCTATAGCGTCCTCCATCAGTGGCTATTATTCAAAACTATTACCTCATTCCGTTTGTTCAATTCAAAGTATTATTCTTAGAATTTATATAAACGAATTTATAAAAATGCATCCTTATCACACACCTACGCACCAAGACTGGCCCTCGTACAAAATTTCAAGATTCTAGCTTTAGTCGTTTCGCTTTGGCGTTGATTCTCAGTCAGCCAGTGTGTAATTTCCAACTCTTTTATATATATAGAAGAATATATATCTTATGTCTTACTATAAACGTCACCGAAATAAACCAGTAAAGAAAGTCTTAAAGTCGGGCGGGGCCGACTTTATGATACCCTACACCACTTTGCTAATTTAGTAGAGCTGCGCTGGACAATTAAAAGTTTTTATGGGAGAATTCAATCATACACGCTATGATTATAAAATTAATTTAAAATTCAAAGGACTAAATATGCCGCAGCATTTGTATCTTTTAAATTCCGACTTGTATTGCCCATTTGGTGCGAAATTAATTTGAAATCGGATAAAAAATATATATGGGAACTATATCCAAATCTGAACCGATCTCGATAAAATTTGGCAAAGATATTTCTGAGCTATATTTGATATATTTCCCTGAATATCGTTGTTACGGAGTGCATATTACGGCTGTGGGTAACAAATATGACAAATGGGATGAACAGTATATATGGGAGCTATAGCTATATCTGAACCGATCTTCACTAAATTTGACACACTAGCTTCTAGACTCAATTCGGTCGTAAGTGCCAAATTCCATCCCATTTGGACAAATATTAGACGTTTGGTGCACAATAAAAGGTAAATCGGACGAAATTATATATGGGAGCTATATACAAATCTGAAGCGATCTCAATAAAATTTAGCAAATGTATTTCTGAGCTGTATTTAATATATTTCCCTAAATATTTTTGTTGTAGAGTGCATATTACGGCTGCGGTGGACAAAAATAACAAATCGGATGAACAATATATAAGGGAGCTATAGCTATATCTGAACCGATTTCGATCAAATTTGGCATACATATTTTCAGGCTTAATTTGGGTGTATATGCAAAATTCCATACAAATCGGGCTGATATCACACGTTTGGTGCACAATAAAAGGCAAATCGGACGAAGATATATATGGGAGCTATATCTAAATTTTGACCGATTATCTCCAATTTGAATAGGGTTCGTCCTTGGGCCAAACAAATGGTTTGTGCAAAATTTCATCTGGATCGGGCAATAAATACGACCTGTACTTTGTTTACAAAAATACATGGACAGGCGGACGGACGGACTTGCATAAATCGACTCAGAATGTAATTCTATGCAGATCATCAAAAGGAACTATGGGTCTATCTCGTTTCCTTCTGCCTGTTACAAACAAATGCACAAAGACATAATACCCTGACCACCTTGTGGTGTAGGGTATAAAAATCAATGTAAATGTTGGAAGTGCCCCTTTGCTATTTTTGTGATTTCGAAGTGACTTATCTTATCTTATCTAAAGTGATAAACTTCTGCTCTTTCCTAAAATCTAACCACATGCGACTGCAATTGTTGACCCATTTCAACAGCTAAATACTAAATAAAAATACATGAATTCCGGTGAATAATGTCGTTAAAATCATCAAAATACCGAATATCGGGAGGTACCGTTATATGGTGGCTATACGAAGACGTGGACCTGCAAAATCAAATTTTTGTCATATGCTATAGCACTTATTACGAATTCGAGGTATGCAATTTGAAACAACTCCGGTGAATAACGTCCCTGAAATATAGATTATGGTGGGGAGGGGGGTTCCGTTGTATGTGGGCTATACGATATCGTGGACCTATGTAGATATTTCTCTTCCAGGGAGTAAAGTGCTTGGAAAAAACTTCTAGCATGGATTTTTTGTCATCGATTGAAAAATGTTGATAAAATCAAAAAATACCGAATATAGGGAGGTACCGCTATATTGGGTATATACGATATCGTCGACCTATATAGACAATAATCTTCGATGTCATGAAGTTCTCAAAAGGAAATACTTATGTGGATTTTAAGACAATTTTATTGAATAATTTGGCTATAAGCAAAAATGATTCCTGAATGTTACGTAATATATATATACGGCTTCTACTTATCTTCCATAAATTATTGGAGCTATAATCAGATTAGTTTAATTAATGTATGTATAACTATTTTTTCCACTACTCACAACAATTCAACAAAACCACATTGAAACAAGTAAGCAAAGGCTATAGTCGTGCGGGGCCGACTATGTTATACCCTACAATACTACAGTATGTTAGAAGCCCCCTTATGTCCAAATCCATTTTGGAAGATTTCGCTTTTGAAATTAGGATTTTGACTAGGGACAATTGCCCAATATTTATGCACTCCGTCGGGCTATTAGTTGTTGTAGTCCATTTTACATCTAAATATAATCCAATGGTCATCCAAAATGCTAGAATTCTTCCCTGTCCTTAACTCTATTCACAGGCGTGAATATTTTATTTTATATTTATATTTTACAATCATCTCCGAGAGCAAGAAGCCCCTTCATACCTCCAAATTTGGGCTCATCTATATGATTTGCTTGTCTACGATA